TGTAAAACAAATTGATTTTGCCGTTGATATTAATAGTGAATTCATTTGTGTTTTAAGTAATGATAAAATCTACAAATTATCAAATGATCACAAACTATACAAAACCATATATAATGATTTAATCGCGTTTTACACCAATGAATACCAAATCACTTATAAAACAATTGATTTGAGAGAAATAAATGAAATATCAATCATAACATCAGATGATATCGAAATGAAAAGCGATGAAAATATGCCAATCGATGACAACAAGAAATTCAATGAAACGTTACAACAGATTATTATTCATAACATTAAAGCAGTGGAAACAAGAAGTGGTAATTGTAAACTATAGTTAACTTTATTGATTAAAATTATATAAACTATCATGATATAACTTTATATGACAGGTCAGAGCGTTAATACCGATGAGTTTGGCGAACCCGAGCTAATAGGTAGGGGTGGGTTTGGCGGTGTGTATAAAGTGAAGTATAACTCAGGCGATGAGGTGTACGCCATTAAAACTGTCACTTTTCTCGGTAAGTTAACTAATTTTACTACAATTGTTTAATTTGTATAATTTATCATATTTGTAAAACACTTTGCATTTGAATAATTTTTATCCTCGAGTGATGCAAACAAACTGCGAGTACTAAAAGAGGTAAAAAGTTTAGAAAACGTGCGCTTAGAATATGTGGTCCAGTATTACACTTCATGGATGGACAACAATCGGCTGTACATTCAGATGGAGTATTGCCCGCAAAGTCTGCGCACAGTATTAGATGACAATTGGCGTTGACATTTGGCCGCCAATCGCCGGCCGAACCCATGAATGCTATCGAGTATTACATATCGTGTGAAATATTTAAGCTCTTAGAGAGTGTTGAATATCTCCGCGGATTGAATCCACCGGTCATTCATCGGGATCTCAAACCGGACAACATTTTGATTGCAAACATATTATATGATAATAACAACAATAGCCGGCGATTCATAAAATTAATACTTTATACGGTGGCCAGCTAATCATTAACTCATCCTTCTCCCCTCCCCCGGTCGTCCACTGATTGGTCAAACCTGGCGCCAGGTCAAACTATATGTATGTAGCATGTAGTTTGAACTCAGCATTCATTACCGGGATGACGTCCAATTCAGTACACCACCCAAAGTGATCGCCCTTCCCCACCCTCAACGGCGGGACTCATCATTAAGGTGGTCACTCATGGCCGAAATCTAGTGTTCATCCGATAGCTCCGGTGTAACTCATTCAGCGTAATTAACAAATTACACCCTATTGAGATATATTTACATAAATTTACATATCATACGGATGTCATACTGTGTCATAAATTTTGGTCTAGTTTCAATTACTGTCGTCGGGGTGGGGTGGGCGAATGAAGATGAGCAAAAATCCCTGCCTTTGGCTGTACAAATATGCAAATGAGATAGCGCATCTTCATTGCTCAAATCCCTTATACAACTACTAACGCCTGGCGTTGATTGACTTATACACTGATTTAAACCCTGTTTCGCACGACATATACCTAAACAGTACTTATATAGTGTACTAATCTTATGGTATTTTTCCAATAGTGTATTATTTTATGTTCACTATATATAACAGTCATAATGTAAACCAGATATAAAAAGCGCAAATTACTTCCGATTTGAATAAATGCCAAAACAATAAACATATGGATTATGTGAATGAAAAATGTAAATTTAAAATTATTTATGAATGTAACCCTTTTTGTTGAATATCTAGTGATCTATTGAATGAATCTTAATATAGTTGTGTAAATAACTTTTATACTTTTTTTAAAATAAATATATTTTTTATGGTAAACGAAATAAATATATTAAATTCATTTATGGTAAAATAATAATTTAAAAAATGGCGCAGCCAATTTTTGACCAATTGTTATAAACTCAAAAATTGAATTTAGTATAACACATAAAATACAAGTAATTTACAGTATATAATATTGACAAATATATTATGTAGTTTAAATTCAACTGATCAATTAAATATAGTTTGTAAATATTTTTTAAAATTGCTTATCAATAATAAATATACTTGTATATTTAAAATGTGATAAAAATTAAAAATATTTAAAGGCTAGACATTAAACCAAATTTTTAATCAACTCACCATTGAATAGAGCATGCAAAATAAAATATGTTTAATTTACAGTATGTATTATTTTAATTGTGAAATGTATTTTATTTACGATTTAATTTAAATATGTTATATTATTTTATGTAATTAAATATTTAAAATTATATCAAGGACAATTGAGTTGCTCGGGTTTCCTATTATTTGATTACTTATTATAAATAATGTGTTAATTAAAACTTAAAACAATAATTTTACTACAATTACAGTGAATGAATATTAAACTATTTAATAAAATAGGTGTTATATTATAAAATAACTTAATAATTATAATATGATACTTATAAATGAGTTATAAAATGTTTTGCTGGTCATCAAAGTAAAGATTTAAATTTACATAAATTATATTATTAATTAAATTATTAATTAAATATTTAATTAACCATTTACATTTTCAATAGTTTACGTCGTTGTCCGGGCCCTAACACCACCGACTCGTGCGGCTACACATGTCTACACCACTCGGCACTCAACGGGCATAAGTAAATACACATTTTTTTATCGCGATTTATTAATTAATTTACACTAAATTTTATATAAATTTAGACCTACTATATAATATGGTTCTAGGTTTATTTAAAATTAAACAATATTTCAAATAATAGTTAAGCATAATTAATTAATTTAGATTATAGTAAAACATAATTATAACCTTGATGATAATGGTAGATTTAAATTACAGCAACTGTATGTGGTAAGCCCAATTAAAATAAAAATTATCTTATATAAATATACCCACTAGAATCTATTGTTTTAATTTACAGTTTTAATGCTAGCAATATTTTAACATTTAGTAACTAATTATAACAAATTTTTTATCATGTTAATTTATATCACCAGGGATGTTGTGGAGCTATTACTAGCACATGATGCCAACCCAAACATTGTGGACAATAAGGGCTCGACGGCACTGCATTTGGCCGCCTGGACGGGCGACTACGAGATTGTCAACATGCTACTTACCAAGTCCGCACACGTGCCAAATGTTAACCTCAAGGTAAAATAATTAGTAATTACCAAGTAAAATTTGATGACCCATAACTTTGCTAAATGCATGAAGCTTCAATCTACAATTCTCTAATTAAACGTGTAATTCATTAATTTGCTAGTTGCTTTATTAACTTTACCTGTTTACAAAATAATCATTTAGTAGAACATAATAGATCTAGATGTTAAACAAATTAATTAGAACATAGATTAATTTATATCTCTGATGCTTATAAATAAATTTTAATAAAAATTACTCGGCATTCTACTCCTCCCACTAATAAATTATATGTTATTTTATCATGATATATTTAAGAATTAAAACAATTCATTACAGTTTGTACATTATGAAAAAAGTCTAATATATAAACAATTAAATACTATTAATAACATTTTTACATAAAATTAATAACCATAATTAATTAATTCTCTACCTCTACACTCCTACCAGAACAACGACATGGAAACAGCCCTACACTGCGCGGCCCAATACGGCCACACGCCTGTAGTGTCACTATTATTACAGTCGGGCGCCGACGCCATGTGTCGTAACTCTAAGGACGAGTCGCCCCTGGATTTGGCCGCACAATACGGCCGAACCGATACAGTCGAGCTATTCCTACGCACCCGACCCTCGCTGGTGAGGCACCTGACGGGCCGACACTCGCCCCTGCATTTGGCCGCCCGTAATGGCCATAAGACTTGTGTTAAGTTACTGATTGACGCCAAGTTTGATGTGAATTATTGTGTAAGTATTTATGCAGTTTTTGTATTTGCATATATTTACACACGAATTATTAATTATGGTTTAAAAATTATTAGCTAGATAGCTTTATAAATATTGATGTCTAACTGTTGTTGTCCATGTTAAAATGTTGAGCTTGTTGAGGTTATATTACAATAATTTTAGTTTAAAAAGTATCTATATATATTAAACTGTGTTTTCTATCTTATTTAATAAAATTAAAAAAATAAATTTAACAAATAAACCCCATTTATATTTATACTAATAAATTTTATTATGCTTGAATATATTTTAAACGCAAATGTTACAGTTATCACAATTAATTGATCATTAAATACGACATTGCTAGTATACGTGCATATTTTGAAATAGCAAATAAATAACAATATTTGCTTTATTTAGCTGATTGAATTAAGCTATTGATAGAATTATAATAAAACATATTATGTTTGATCATAGCTAATTATGTTTTACTAAATTAATTAAAAATTAAAGTGAAGCTACAACTTTCGCCAACTTTAATATATTTGTAATGTTTTAAAATGATAAAATGTAAATTATAAGCAAAATTTACAGTTTGTTTGATTTTCAAACATTCTAGATATTAAATAAATTATATACGACTATTAACTAGCTTCTTTAATAAATTTTGGCTAGTTATTGTCATAAACTTGGACATGTATAGCATTTAATCAATGTATTTAAGTTTTAAATTAAATAATAAAATTAATTTTTAGGTAATTTACTAAAAAATTATTGACATGAAATATTTTTTATAAGTAAATTATTAAACCCAAATAATTTATTATTAATAATATACCGGGATTGACGTTGTCATCCAATTATTATAAACATAACAATTTCAACATGATAAAAATAATAATTTATAAAACATTACAGTTTTATTAGGTAGCGATGTTCGGAAAAAAATTCTTAAATTATTTATTACTATACAAATAAAAATAAAACTATCAAAACTATTCGTTAGCCATTAACAAAATACATTACTAATTTATACAACTTCCCCCCCCCTCCCCCCACTTGGTACAGACTGACGCAGGCAGCGCATTGCACGAGGCGGCCCTATTTGGCAAGGTGGAAGTTGTCCGACTATTGCTCAAAGCTGGCATCAATGTGGACCTCGAGGACAGCCACCGGCGCACTGTACACGACTTTCTCGACGACCTCAACACCTCTATCGCCAAACAGACCAAAAAATTAATACGAGGTAAATATACACAAACACAATGTCAAATTACTAGCAAAACTAACATGATCATTTATACAACCCCCTCTACTTACAGAGCATAGCCTCCTAATTAGCACCGACTTAGATGACACGTCAATACTTATGTCGGACGCCTCTTCGTCGCACTGTATTTCGCCCCCTCCGGGCTATACGGACACAACGCCCGAGCATTTACGCCACTTTCACTACCAGTCGGACGCCCAGACCGATGGCAAGGCCTCACCTGCGGTCACCTCCGCCTCGGAGTTCAGTTACTACGAGTCGGCGCCCCCTCCGGCACCTAAACACGGTGTCCCCCAACGGACTAGTATGCGCTCGAGCACCGGCAGTGATGATTATAAGTATGATTGTTTTTTGAGCATGGTAGTTGTAAAATGGTGGGGGTATAGTGGTATTTAATTTGTGCTGTGTTTTGTGCGTTTAATCTAGGTTAAAACCGCGCCTATCCAGGTCACGAGACTCGGTGCTAGATGGTTATTCTACCTCCACTTCAAGCAGATCACCTTGTTATTTGGATGGTGAGGTACCGCCACCGTTACCACCTCGACACTTCTCCAATAATGTTATTCCTATGGATAGTAATAGTGAGTGAAAATTACTATAATATTAACCTTAATTATTTTGTTAAATTGTTAAAAATGACCATATAATTTAATGTATTTTTACGATAAGATGTGCTTTAATTAAATTATGATTTAATTATATTTAGAAACTTTATATTATACTGTTTTTACATTGTAGAATTAAATTGAGATTGTGATTTAAATGATAAAAATATAACCTATTATAAAAATATTTGCAATAATTAAAATACGTTTCAATCAGAAGCCAAATATTACATTTTTTAAATGATTAAAAAGTTTAATTTATTACTTATAATAAGGGTACAGTTTCTAATAAAATACTAATAGTGCATGATTGAATTATAAAATTGCACATTTAATATTTACTGTAACATTCTTGTTACAATAATCAATTTTATTTAGTTACATTATCAATTAATAACAAATAAAATAACTAGATTTAATAAAAATATAGTACGTTATGCGACCTGAGAATGGGAACCAAAAATTAAATGTTGAAAATATTGTTATTGAATAAAATGAATGTTTATTATAAAATTACAACTTATAATTTAATAATGTTTAAATAGGATTGGTTGTAAAGAATTATAAAATAAATCAACTAATAGTTCAATTATGATTAAATACATAAGAATGTTCAATTAGAGAGTTTAATTTGTTTAATTAATAGATTATAGAATGTTTAAAGTGATCTATAAATAAATGTATAATTTATTACAAAATTCTAGCTAATTTATTAATTTATATCTATTTTTATATTATACATGCTATAAAATATATAATGTACAAAACATTCAATTAGTAACTTTAATTATTTAACTAAAATTTATATAAACATATTGGATTTTAAAAATTTTAATACAAATTTTAATTATATTATTGAAGACGATTGCTTTAGCAAAATGTTTAATTTTTAAAAATAGCCATATTGTACGATAAGATGTACTTTAACTAAATAATGATTAAATTGTATTTTAAGCATTAAACATTAAAATAATTTTATATTTTTATACTATAACAATATTAAATTATAAAATTAAATTGAGATTATGACTTAAATTTATAAAAATTTATCTTATTATAATAAAAATTTGCATTAAATATAAATGGGAGTCTACACCAAATATTATATTATAAAAATAACAACAATAGTTTAATTCTTAAATTATAATAACGTTACAGTTTCTGAAAAATTACTAATAGTGCAAGATTGAATTAAAATATTATACATTTAATAATTAATGTAATATTTTTGCTATAATAACCAATTTTATCTAGTTAAATTATTAATCAATAAAAAATCAAAGAAAAAACAGTTACCAAAAATTAAATGTTAAAAATACCATTGTTAAATATATTTAAAGTTTAACATTGCATTACAGCTTACTTTTGAACAAATATTGAACAAAATAAGATAGAAATAAATATAACATAATTTTAAAATTAAATGCATAAAATGCTTAAAGTGATCTATATAATATTTACCGCTAGATTTTAATTAATTTGTAAAAGTAAATTAATTTTTATATTAAATAATATAATAAATAAATGTAAAAAACAAATATAAATAAATACTTTGTGCGCACTAGACTAAAATATAATTTATTTAATCACCTAGGTCAATACGAAGTGCCCGGCATACCGGTGGCCATTAGTCCGGACGAGTATACGTTACTGCGGCGGCACAACCACTACGACATTGATATGCGGCCCAATTCGCAGTCATCGATGGCCAGCAACCAGTCCGGGGCTTATAGCCGGTTCAGTGGGGGTACGGGTGGGCTGGAAAAGCCGGTACCGCCGGCCAAACCGCCCCGCAAGTCAATATCGCCGGTCAATAGGAGTCATACGATTAATACATATGATTATAATCAGCGCCAAAAGGGCCGCACCGGCGATCCCGATGATCATGATCAACAGTTTTCCACTTTTAAAGGTATGTTTGATCTTGTTTAATTAGTATATCAATGTGATCTTGTTTGATTTATTTATAACAATTAATTAGTGTGTTTTACTATGTGTGTGGTTTGATTGTGGGTAGTTTAGATTTATGGTGTTTATTGATTAGGAAAATAATGTATGTTGGGTACAAGGTTTTAATTAAAGTTACCACACATAAGTAAATTTATAAATTTTGCATTTCGCTCTCTCTCTCTCTCTCTCTCTCTCTCTCTCTCTCTTTTTCTCTCACATTATAATAATATTAGACAAAAACTGCTATTTATTAGATAATAAAATAATAACTACTTAAATGCAAATGGTAAAAATTTATTTGTTTGCTTTGAGTACACCTGTAGAGCAACGGTTCCTTCGGTCCAATTATATAAAACAAATAAAACTTGATGAATGTAAAATATTCCTAGTTTAATTTCTTACAGTTTACAACATAAAATTTATTAAAACTTTGATTAAACACAAATAAATCTAAATGGAAACTACCCGTCATTACAAGTTTATCAAATGATCTGCACAAATACTTTCAATGATTAGTTTATTTTTTGTTGTAAAACATATATTTAAAACAATTTTTTGTGCCTAAGACCAAGTGCCTATTGTAGAAAAATATATTACAACATACTTTCGGTTTAATGTCCACACTGTGTGGCCGACAAATATTTACTAAAAATTTAGTACCAAGACTATTGATCTATTGATTTCAAATAAACAATCATGAATATAATTTACTCTATTATGATGAACAAACAAACACAGACATAATAGATCATGGGAGAGTTACAGATCTAGATTAAGTGTTTATACATCACTTGATCGTATCGGATCAATACAGTAGTATGTATTGTACATATATTTTTGTGAAATACTTACTGACTGCTGAACAATATCATGATGGACTCAAAACATTCGGACCCCATACGATTAATTATGGCCCTAATATAGACAGTTACACCCCAGGAGAGTGTGTGTGTCTATAGCAATGTGTTTGTGCTATAGTGTGGGACACACACAGCCATAGCCACCGCCAGCCATACACTCGCCCACAGCGTTGGGTCTCTATGTTAAAGAGGTGGTCGTCGGGTGTATGACTAGTACTGTATATTATGTATAAGATATGGATAAAGCGTATGGTATGGTATGAAGAGATACATTGGGGCCACACATGTCGAGACCACACACGTGAGGCACTGGACCTCTAAATTATAGTCATTATTGAGAGACACACATGAAAATTGATGCAATTTTTCATTACTCTCTCTCTCTCTCTCTCTCTCTCTCT